AGAGCAAAAGCTATAATTGCCCTTTTCCATAGAATGACCCACTAGCATGTATAATTTTATCTCAGAACAGATTCTATGTATAGGAATTAAGATAATCTACAATAAAAGCAGAGAATGCAAATTAAAGAACAAAATAAACATAAACAGATTAATGTTATCATATGGTAGCTAAAAAACTTCAACGATAATAAAGAAACCGCCCATCATATGTTAACTAAACAAACAAAGTAAAGTCACTAAAACGCTTTTAATCCATTGTGATCAATGAGTGAGTGAGTTTAGTTTTACGCCGCACTCACCAATATTCCAGTTATATGGCGACGGTCTGTAAACAATCGAGTCTGGACCAGACAATCCAGTGATCAACAGAATGTGCATCGATCTACGCAATTGGGAACTGATGACATGTGTCAACCAAGTCAGCGAGCCTGACCACCCGATCAAGTTTGTCGCCTCTTACGACAAGCATGGGTTTCTGAAGATCAACTGCTTGGAAAATTAATCCAAGCACATACACCTAATGTAACAACTAATGAACACAAAACAACTTGAAATAATAAATCTAACACTATATTCCTAAAAACTATATGTGTGGCAGATTCAACTTTGTGTTGTATATATAGTATTGTGAATAAACATGTGAATCTTTTTAAAGTTGGTTGTCATATTTTGATGAGATATACAATTTCAATAAATACACTATATCTAACCATTTTATCAATTGTTCTATACTCAACACTCAACACTCAATATCAGCCATCAAAACATCGATCGAATCTTAAGAGTAATCTATTTCAGCAGTACTAATTTACACTGCATACTTTTCTTACTGCAATCTCCCCCAAAGCGTGTCCCTTGGTTAGGCTAGTGTGGAGGTTCAATTTTCTGTGTTCATCCAAGCGTAGCATAAGGTATTAAGGTATTTAAAAGGTTAATTTCATCTTGTCCTTTGGTCAGTATCATACGTGGTTGTCGTCGCACATGTAATGGTTTTTCATATTCATTGGGATCGAGATCAAGGTGATCTGGACGGTGTTTCTAAGCATGGTGTTTCTACCTCCCCCAGAACAAAATGGGTGACACCCCCACCCCACCCCCATTTAAAATCATCACACACACAGTCATAAATTATGAACGGTCCCTAAGATGATGTAGACATCCTGCAGATGACGTAGACATGTGAATGCAGTAGCTCAGGTCATACCAACCAGGCTCGTTTTTCTATTGCATACGCAATAAAAGTCCATCGCCGCACTCCCCAATGGCGGAAAGATTTCCGCCCGTAACCCCCGTTTTTTTAGCATTAGTGAGTTCGTATCCGCTCGGATGCGTACTTACACTAACCCTAACCCTAACCCCAAACGACCCCAACCCAACCCAACCCATCCCCACGTCACCATATCATAGAAGATGTCAGGGCCCGGAAAGGTGTTTAACTCTTATACATATCACTTCACTTACTGAAAAGTCATGACTGAATAATTCTTGAAGACTCCATGAAGCTTATGTTCATGATATATTAGTCATCACCATAAAGTAGCAAGTTGCATCATTTTACATTGGATATGACATGTGTCAACCAAGTTTCTAACTAAAAAAAAACCAAAACAAAAGAAAAAACAACAAATAAACAAAACACAACAACAACAAAAGAACAACAACAAAAAAACAGACAACCATGTTATGCTTATCTGCGAGGACAACCTGAATAGGAAAATCTGAAAAATGACTCTTATCAATTTTTCGATGAGCGGTCGTTGGTAGTGTTCACATGGTCAGTACTTATCGGGTGTGTCATTGGCGGATTCAGGTGGTTGTGTGTGGGTTGTGTGTGTGTGTGTGTTTGAGGGGGTTCGAACCCCTTTTTGAAAATGACTAAAGACCACATTGAAGGTAAAGTTTTGCATTGGCAGAGCCGGGGGTGAGGGTGGAGGTGGGCGTGGGGGGTTGGTTTCAGGGTGTCATCCTGTGCACTCATGCATGTCTGACACCTCATGTAGACCACTGGCACTCATGCATGTCTGACACCTCATGTAGACCACTGGCACCTCATGTGTCGATGAGAGAGCTCAATATCTGAGGAAGGAACTGGCTGAGTTCTTGCTGCGTATTTGGAAGATCCGGATGATGTACTACACGTCGCTCCACTCCATCCAAATCAGGGGATCTTCCGGGGCAGGGTAACACATTAACACTGTTCTGATTACGATACTGCTCCACAACTGCACTCTCCCACCCAGAGTTCCATGTGGCCAGCATAGTACCTCTGCCACAGGCCAGAGAGTTTAAACGGTTTGGCTAAAGTGGGGATTGAAGAACCTCCTCCTTATCAAAGGTTCTGACTTGCTTATTGGTACTGATGTGACTAGGGAAAATGACTGCCTGGTTCTGTTGTTTATCATGAGCCTAGCATTTTAGAAAGTACTGAATATATTGAAAAAGACATTCTACTTATCTTTCCTCCCAGGGTTGTTACTCGTGCCAATCTAGCACATTTCTTCTGAGGATGATTTCAGCCATAAGCTGGCTGTAACTTCGTTCTCCTGGCCTGTCTAACGTTTCGAGAGAAAGTACTCAAAATTCTGACAATTTGGCTGTTGAGGAACCAGTTCTGGGTAGAGGCGACTGGTTCAGTTACAGGGACCCAGTTGTCAGTGTTCTTGCCGATTGGACACTCTCTTGTAGACGCTGACACAGTTCCAGTCTGTTATCATTTCAAGGATAGCTTTTTGATGAGGAAATAGAGTGATTGAGTACGGTTTCACGCTGCTTTTAGCAATATTCCAGCAACATCACGGCGGGGGACACCAGAAATGGGCTTCACACATTGTACCCATGTGTGGAATTGAACCCGGGTCTTCAGCGTGACGAGAAGATGCTTTAACCATCAGGCAGCGCCATCACCTAGATGAGGAAGTGGAGGCAGATGCACCCGCTGATAATGAATGGAAGGTTTTTCATCGATTGTTTTTCCAATTTCCTGTCGAAAACATGTTTTGAGTCTGGCACAGTTGGCAGGTGATTTGGTGTGAAATTGTGAGAAAAACTTGTGAGAAACATCAACTAATTGATGACGTTGGCCCGCACAAGACGGAGGTGCGGCCGCTTGTTAACGAGACATTTACAGCTGATGCTTTCTTTTGAGAAGCCATTGCTAGAAAAAAATCTTAATTTCCAAGTTAAGCAGTCGATGAAAGTCACAATTCCCGCGAATTTATAAAAAATGTGCAGATTTCCAAGCATTAAAAATCAGAGGGCTTGCTTCGACCACACCCCGTTTTGTGCGGACCTATCGTCATCCTTTTTTGACCAGATCGTTTAGTTCAGGGTCAAAATAGTTGAGCGTGATACAGTGAGTGAGTGAGTGAGTGAGTTGCGTTTTACGCCGCACTCAGCAATTTTCCAGCTATATGGTGGCGGTGATCTGCAAATAATCGAGTCTGGACCAGACAATCCAGTAATCAACAGCATGTGCATCGATCTGCGCAATTGGGAACCGATAACATGTGTCTACCAAGTCTGACCACCCGATCCCGTTAGTCGCCTCTTACAAGCATGGGTAACTGAGGGACAATATTCTAACCCGGACCTTCACGGGTCTGATACAGTGTCAATGTATGACATTAGTTCTGGCACAAGTAACTGTTGTTAATTTTCCTTTGTACCTACCCATTGATGGTTCAATTCAAGGTATCTTCTCTTCCTAGGTGGTGGTCTGGCACCGTTTCGTTGCTGAAGAACAAATGCCTCTACCAGTCAATGGCCTTATAAATGTTGGGGTGGCTTTCGACCCAACACGATGCCACTTTACGATGCCACCCCTCTACATGATTTGTTGTTTTTGGACCTTCGGTTCTGAAATGGTTCCACATTTCACGGCCATGATCATCCTCCACCCAGTACGTAGTCACATAGACCTTGAAGAGATCGATGTTGTCGCCAAGAGTGTTTACTTGAATGTTTGCCATAGTGCAATGGAGAAACGAGCAAATCTCCATACTTTATAATACTTGTCGTTGGCATAGTTCCCTCCATTTAAATTCAGTTTGTAGCAAATGATATGAATATAGTTCACGAAGATCAAATATATTTGTTTATATTATCAGTTTTTCTTGTGAAATATGTTCACCGGTGGTCATGAGGTTGCTCTGATCGGCCCTGATTGGAGTGCTGGGATAACTTATGTCACAGCCAAAGCAGGGGTAACAAATTCACCCTGCACAATCACTGACCCGTAACTGTTAATCTCTTTTAATCCCCCCAGTGAGTTGGGTAAGTGGGAGTGAGCCTTTGTGACCAGATCGTTTAGTTGAGGGTCAAAATCGGTCTTCAATCGACTTGCAGAAATAACAATAAAGAATTGGTAGGTGTCATGAGTGGTGATCGATAGGCCAATCATCTATGATTATGTTTACATTAAATTTTAATCGATTGCATGCGATGGTTGCGTAGCGATCGGCAGAGCAGACCGGTGAGGTACACCGAAGCGTCCGGCCTTTTCATGATTTATTGTGCTGTGAAGCATTTCGAGTCAGGATCATCTCAAAACAATATTTTTGTAATCTTTACACTAAAAATACATTATAGTGAGTGAGTGAGTTATTATTTAACGTCACATCGGCAATATTTCAGCCATATCGTGACGAAAACAATTTATACAATAAAAAGTGAAATGAGAACATTTGACATTGAAATGGAATATATGTACATTATAAAAACCTGTCGACGAAGGACAGTAAAACAACTAGAATATCACAATTACAACTAAAACTAGTGTGGAGAGTTAAAACTAATAGCACTATTTGGACAATACAATATAAAAACAGGCCAACACCAGAAGGTAGATCACCATACTTAGGGACCATGGGGACTTACAGTACCTTGGCTACCTGCATGGACCCTAGTTGGATTTACACCATCCCTTCAGCTGCTGGCGATTGTAAGAAATGTTAGCCAAAATTGAAATGACAAGAATGCTACGTTTGAAAATCCTGGCAAGTTTAAATTGACTTTGAACATTTTGGGGATGATGGGAGGTTGTGGAGGTGGGTAGTAGATGTAGGTAGGTGGTGAGGTTGTGGAGGTAGGTAGATGTAGGTAGATGAGGAGGTTGTGGAGGTAGGTAGATGTAGGTAGATGGTGAGGTTGTGGAGGTAGGTAGATGTAGGTAGGTGGTGAGGTTGTGGAGGTAGGTAGATGTAGGTAGATGGTGAGGTTGTGGAGGTAGGTAGATGTAGGTAGGTGGTGAGGTTGTGGAGGTAGGTAGATGTAGGTAGGTGGTGAGGAGGTGGAGGTGTGGTAGATGTAGGTAGTGGTGAGGTTGTGGAGGAAGGTAGTGTAGGTAGGTGGTGAGGTTGTGGAGGTAGGTAGATGTAGGTAGATGAGGAGGTTGTGGAGGTAGGTAGATGTAGGTAGATGTGGTGAGGTTGTGGAGGTAGGTAGATGTAGGTAGATGAGGAGGTTGTGGAGGTAGGTAGATGTAGGTAGTGGAGGTAGATGTGGAAGTAGGAGGTTGTGGAGGTTGTGGAGGTAGATGTAGGTAGATAGGGAGGTTGTGGAGGTAGAGTAGATGTGGTGAGGTTGTAGGTAGGTAGGAGGTAGATGTAGGTAGGATGAAGTAGGTTGGTGGTAGGTGAGGTTGTGGAGAGGTAGATGAGGGAGAGTAGGGTGAGGTTGTGGAGGTAGGTAGATGTAGGTAGGTATATGAGGTTGTATGAGGTAGAGTAGATGTAGGTTGGAAGGTAGGTAGTAGGTAGATGTAGGTATGTGGTGAGGGAGGTAGATGAGGTAGATGTTGTGGAGGTAGGTAGATGGTTAGGTAGTGCAGGAGGTGTGGTGAGGTTGTGGAGGCAGGTGGTAGATGTAGGTAGATGAGGAGGTTGTGGAGGTAGGTAGTAGATGTAGGTAGATAAGAAGGTTGTGGAGGTAGGTAGATGTAGGTAGATGAGGAGGTTGTGGAGGTAGGTAGAGTGTGGAGGTAGGTAGATGTAGGTAGATGAGGAGGTTGTGGAGGTAGGTAGATGTAGGTAGATGAGGAGGTTTTGGAGGTAGGTAGATGAGGAGGTTGCTGGGGGTGGGTAGATGGAGTGGTTGTTGTCGATAGATGTTGCAGATGTTGTGTTTGTTAGATGTAAATAAATGAGGAGTGTAAGTGCCCAAGGGCAGGGCAATCAGTCTAGCCCCAAGTCGTATGTTGCATCACATATGTACTCACTAGTACTTTAAGAAAATGGCAACTCCATGTGGTATACGCTGACCATGTTTATTTCATCTGATGATGTTTTGTACAGATACAGTGGACCCCTCTGGGCAGCGAATATTTAGCGGATGTTTCTTGCAGATCTCAGTCTGAAAGCAAAAAAAGTCTTCACAAATATTAAGAGGTAATCATTGAGGAAATGTTCATGAACGTGGAAAACTTTAATTAAACACAACTATCAATTAAAAAAGCCACTAATATCCAATTACATCCAATCATAGCCATCACCATCTCCCTCGACTGCCCACCACCACCTCCCATCTACCTACATCTACCCACCACTACAACTTTCTCCTCAACCTACATCTACCCACCATTACAACTTCCCCCTCTACCTACATCTACCGACCACTACAACTTTCCCATCTACCTACATCTACCCACTACTACAAGTTGTCCCTCTACCTACATTTACCCACCACCACAACTTGCCCCTCTACCTACATCTACCCACCACCACAACTTGCCCCTCTACCTACATCTACCCACCACTACAAGTTGTCCCTCTACCTACATCTACCCACCACCACAACTTGCCCCTCTACCTACATCTACCCACCACCACAACTTGCCCCTCTACCTACATCTACAGACCACTACAAGTTGCTCCTCTACCTACATCTACCCACCACCACAACTTGCCCCTCTACCTACATCTACCCACCACCACAACTTGCCCCTCTACCTACATCCACCCACCACCACACACTTGCCAATCTACCTACATCTACCCGTCACTACAAGTTGCTCCTCAACCTACATCTACCCACCACCACAACTTCCCCATCTACCTACATCTACCCACCACCACAACTTCCCCATCTACCTACATCTACCCACCACCACAACTTCCCCATCTACCTACATCTACCCACCACCACAACTTTCGCCTCTACCTACATCCACCACCACAACTTGTCCTCTACCTACATCTACTCACCACCACAACTTTCGCCTCTACCTACATCTACCCACCACAGCACAACTGTCCCTCTACCTACATCTACCCACCACCACAACTTTCCCCATCTACCTACATCTACCCACCACCACAACTTTCCCCTCTACCTACATCTACCCACCACTACAAGTTGCTCCCTCTACCTACATCTACCCACCACCACAACTTGCCCCTCTACCTACATCTACCCACCACCACAACTTGCCCCTCTACCTACATCTACCCACCACCACAACTTTCGCCTCTACCTACATCTACCCACCACCACTACAACTTTCCCTCTACCTACATCTACCCACCACCACAACTTTCGCCTCTACTTACATCTACCCACCACCACAACTTTCGCCTCTACCTACATCTACCCATCACCACAACTTGGCCCTCTACCTACATCTACCCACCACTGCAAATTGTCCCCCTACCTACGTCTACCCACCACCACAACTCCCCCATCTACCTACGTCTACCCACCACTACAACTTCCCCATCTACCTACTTCTACCCACCATCACAACCTCATCATCTACCTACATCTACCTGCTGTGACAAGCTCCCTCCCGTGCTTATCTGGCCATCTCTACCCACTACCACACATCATACATCAACTAACACATCCATCTGTCAACGTACATTATATACATTACCACAGTCCCCTTAATTTACCTATCCAAAACATATTACCCATGGTGATAAGGAAGTGTTGAGTCTTAAAGTGTGATAATCATTGTGGGCAATTTAGAAAAGGTCGTTTTGGGGAGGATTTCCATAGGCAATAACTGCCTATGTATTCACTGAAGTCTTTAACGGATGTTCCAGCTGGATGACACTTACGGTGCCTCCGTCCGCATGGGCAGCAAGGCCTTCGCCCACACACAAAACATCTTAGGCACCTTCTAGCTGAACTCATCCAGAATGATCTCTGCTTCAGAAGAACCTCCCCTGCGCTGGAGCTGCTCCTTTCTATCGTATATGTCTCTATAGAAGGAAGAAACAGATAGAACTAGAACCTTGTACTGTACAAATGCTGCCTTGGACATGTTAATGTGACATATTTGATATCAAAGGGCCCATATCACCAAAGAGTGAGTGAGTGAGGTTTACGCCGCTTTTAGTTATATTCCAGCAATATCACGGCGGGGAACACCAGAAATGGGCTTCACACATTGTACCCATGTGGGGAATCGAACCCGGGTCTTCGGCGTGAAGATAGAACGCTTTGACCACTAGGCTACCCCGGCGCCCCCTATCACCAAAGAAAAAGTGCTAAATGTACGTATATTCTTCAAACAGAATATTTATAGGGTCCTTATACCCACTTTACACAGGACGGCGATCGTTCTACCTTCTTTGTGTTTTCTAAAATATTTAGAAAGCCTCTGAATGCTCGAAGAAGGCATGGAGAGGGCAGAATGATTGCGTAGGTCATACAGAGGTCGTACAAAGAAGGTACAGGCATCGCCATGGACGACACAGAACGCCATGGAACTATATACATGGGACTATATTGAAGTTGTTCAAAACAAACGCAGAGCGGTCGCCGAGGTGAAAGGACGCCATGTAATAGCTCCGTCAACCGGAGTGATGCCTCTGCCTTCTTTGCGCCTTCCTTGTGCGATCTTTGGCCTTCATCCGGTGACAGCGGCATCCCTTGAGCGCCCGTGGCAATGGCTGTGCCTTCTCTCTGCGTTCCTTCTGCCTTCTCTCTTCCTTCATCCTGCTTTCTCTCTGCCTTCCTTTCTGTTAATGTTGGGCTGACTGCATTATGTTTTCAGACTACCTATAAAGAGGCCTGGTACTGCTGATTTTCATAGAGTTTGCGAACTGCCGTCTCACCATGCAGCCAAAGAAGTACTCAACTAGACGAAGGGCCAAAACCCGCAAAGGTGCCTCTAAAACTACTGAAAACAGTGATCAACAGGAAAATGTTTCTGCTGATCATAATGATGGAGAGGCTACAACTTCTGATGAGCGGCCCTCTAATGTTGGTCATGAAATTGTACATGAATCAAACACTGATTCAGAGATGTCTGAAACTGTACCTACGAATACGAAAAAGCTGTATACATAAGCAGTTCATTGTTCATGCCTAATTGTGTCGCAATGAGATGGTTTCGCTTTGTCTGCTTGAATAAAATTGATGATAAAATGACAAAGCCACGTATTTATATACCCAGGATATACGGGATGCTGGACAGACCCCACAGATCACTGAAAGAATGCACAAGGAACGCCAAAGATTTCTGAAAGAATGTTCAAGGGTCAGCAAGAAGGCAGAAGCATTGCTGAATGGTCGCAGTTGGTTGCCGTTGGTTGCGTATGGTCGTACAGGGGAGGAAGAAGGAAGGCAGAAGGAAGGCAGAAGTGTCGCTTTAAGGACGCACAGGATGTTCGCAGATCGCCACGAAAATGCCGGAAACGTGCATTTTGGTCGTACAAGGAAGGCAGAATGATCGCCGGGGCAGTTACACAGAAACATGTTATGTTTTCTTGAAGTTTGCCAACCGTTGAGCGTCCCGGTCATTTTCGGAACGGTCGCGGCTCAGTGTAAAGGGAGCCATACATCACAGCATGCGATGGTCTCCTCTGACCTCTTTTTCAGAACATTCAGAGGACAACATTTTTTTAACACTTCTCAACTCGAAATTACGGTGCTTAAGCGACAGGGCAATCGGAATATGTCCTGTACGGCATTATTGTACTCATTTTTCGTTATAGAATTTAATAACGGTTGCCGAATTGTAGTATATATTGTTACCTTAGTTCTGATGATTATTTGTACATAGTCTAACCTCTGAGGAAGACGTTTATGAAATATCAAGGGTACTGCAGATCTGTCGGGATAAGCTCGTGACAGCTTGATGAGTGATCTTGACCTTCGCTACCGTCCATGTTACATAGAACTCTTGCCATCATAAGGTAAGCAATTTGGTTGTTGCAGTTATCAATTCCAAGCGTACTTATACGCAATAGACTTAATAGGAATTGAGTTTTTACATAAATACGTGCGTAATGTACGCAGATACGCAGCTTATCTGTACCTCTGTAACTGTCAAGTAATTCAACAAGTATGGGGTTCTTGTTCCTTGTTCGCAAGTCATCTTTCGTAAACACATCTTGATACTCTGCGAGTTATTGTGCCAGCTCATGGATTTGAAGTAATTCAGAGTTTCAACAGCTTCACATTGTTCCAAGTGTGATGTGAGGTTATCTGTCTCCATGCAACCCCCAAGACGTGCCAAGGTTGTCGCCTCACTTGATAATATGACGGATTGACAAAACATATCACACTTCCACAAGCTGGAGTGAGTGAGTGAGTATAGTTTTACGCCACTTATAGCAATATTTCAGCAATATCACGGCGGGGGACACCCAAAAATGAGCTTCACACATTGTACCCATGTGGGGAATCAAACCCGGGTCTTCGGCCTGACGAGCAAACGCTTTAACCACTAGGCTACCCCACCGCCCCCACCAGCTGGAACTCCTGGACAAAGACATGGCTCTGTGAGGAAGCATGAGAGTTCCTTGGATAAGGGACATTCAAGCTGATTTACCAGATTAGATACTTGGTACACCCTTAGAACGTCATGGACTAATTTCAGTGGCATCCGATTAAATCTGTAGCTGATGTTGCATCATGTTGGAGTATGATTGTACCCGATGTCATCACTATGGTCTGCAAAGAATGGTGATGCAATGCCATTGCAGCACTGTCTCCTGCCTTCAAAGACCATTTACTAAACCCGTTTGATTTTTATAACCGTGTTAACTGCACAGCTACAGATAGGTTTTGGGGTCTTTGAGTTGTGTACTCGCTTGTGGTCATCTCAAGTGGGTATCCTATCTTTCTTTGAGTAACCAAATAAATTGTACTAACCTCACTCAAACTCAATTGGGTATTTTGCCATTTTCTATTAATGGTATTATTATAATAAAGTTTAAATGTTTGTTTAAGTGTTTGTCATTTATATTTGAT